CCACTTTCAGGTCTCCTCACAGTGCTGGTGTGTTCCATTTTTTGTCATAGGGTGCTGGCAGATTACGGGCCTCCCATAGCTGCTGCCAGGCCCCTAATCTGCCATGGGCCCCTATACCGCCTCCTCATGCTGCTGCCAGGTGCAGAGTCTTTCATGGGTCCCTGTACGGCCTCCCATTGCTGCTGTCTCCATCGCCACACTCTGCCATGTGCCACTTTCAGGTCTCCTCACACTGCTGGTGTGTTCCATTTTTTGTCATAGGGTGCTGGCAGATTACGGGCCTCCCATAGCTGCTGCCAGGCCCCTAATCTGCCATGGGCCCCTATACCGCCTCCTCATTCTGCTGCCAGGTCCAGAGTCTCTCATGGGTCCCTGTACGGCCTCCCCCATTGCTGCTGTCTCCATCGCCACACTCTGCCATGTGCCACTTTCAGATCTCCTCACACTGCTGGTGTGTTACATTTTTTTGTCATAGGGTGCTGGCAGATTACGGGCCTCCCATTGCTGCTGCCAGGCCCGTAATCTGCCATGGGCCCCCGTACCGACTCCTCATGCTGTGACGTTGCAACAAGGTGGAATTCAACCCTACATATGTTAGACCGCCTTTACGAACAGCGAAAGGCCATCACAGATTTCCTGATGTTACAAGCGGATAAAGGTACTCCCTGTGTAACTTAGCTGTCAGCCATTGGCAGCTCATGCGTGACACCTGCGCTTGCTCAGGCCCTTTGAGGAGGCCACGCTATTCGTGAGTCGGCAGGACTATGGGATGAACGACGTCATTCCTCTGTTGCACGTCCTGGAACAAATGCTGTTAACAATGGCTGGTCAGGGTGCGGTAGACGTGGCGCACAGATCTCAACGCCACATGACCCCTGTGGGGGCAGGACAGGAAGAAGAGGAAGAGGTAGAGGAGGACATTGGTGCTCAGGAATTATTGAGTGAAATGGGTGGTTTTTCCACTCAGCGGACAGGAGTGGAGGAGCAGGAGCATCTGGTAGAGGAGGAGGAGGAGGAGACAGAGGACCCAAACGCACCGTGGCAGTATGCTGTGGAGATGGAGGCAGGGAGTCCCTCGCATTCCTTGGCACAAATGGCCCATAGCATGCTCGGTTGCTTGCGTAGCGACAGCCGAATAATAACCATCAGACAGAGGGATGACTTTTGGCTGTCCACCTTGTTGGACCCTCGCTACCGTTCAAAAATGGTGGCCTTTTTCACACCTGCTGAGAGGGAGGCCAAAATAACGTACTATAAAAACCACCTATGTAGTCAGCTGGTCTCTGCTTTCTGCGCCAACGTCCATCCTCAGACACTGTGGGCCCTGTGCGCTCGCGTTCCGCTGCCATGGCAGCAGGGGAGGGGTGGGGTGGTAGGAGCAGTGGCAGCTCCACCAGCAGCGGCTGCCTCAGTCTGCAGTCGATGATGAGTAGCTTTTCTTCACCAGCGCAGTGAGGAAACTACTAACCAGCCGCAGCAGCAGCAGCATCAGGTGGACCTGGAGCAGGACCTCAAACAACAGGCTTAGGCCTACTTGGACAGCACCCTGCCAACCGAGGTAGACAATCCCCTTGACTACTGGGCAATGAAACTTGACCTTTGGCCCCAACTAGCTGAATTTGCCCTTGAAAGGCTGTCATGCCGGCCAGTAGCGTGGCATCGGAGCGTGTGTTTAGTGCGGCAGGAGGTATTGTAACTCCGCGGAGGACACGACTGTCCACCCAAAGTGTGGAGAGACTCACGTTTGTGAAAATGAATCAGGCGTGGATTAGTCTGGATTTCAAACCAACAGTTCCTGACACAACTGACTAAATCCGCCATGAATCATGCCCCAAACATGTGCCACTTTCAGGTCTCCTCACACTGCTGGTGTGTTCCATTTTTTGTCATAGGGTGCTGGCAGATTACGGGCCTCCCATTGCTGCTGCCAGGCACGTAATCTGCCATGGGCCCCTGTACCCACCCGCCTCCTCATGCTGCTGCCAGGTCCAGAGTGTGTCATGGGTCCCTGTACGGCCTCCCATTGCTGCTGTCTCCATCGCCACACTCTGCCATGTGCCACTTTCAGGTCTCCTCACACACTGCTGGTGTGTTCCATTTTTTGTCATAGGGTGCTGGCAGATTACGGGCCTCCCATTGCTGCTGCCAGGCCCGTAATCTGCCATGGGCCCCCGTACCGACTCCTCATGCTGCTGCCAGGCCCGTAATCTGTCATGGGCCCCTGTTGTCGCTTGTTGGCATATTCCGCTCGTTCAGATGCTCCTTCTCCTGCTACTCCTCTTCACGGATTCCGTCAGCAGTCTTTCTTGGAATCCGTTTCCAAGAGAGACAACAGTTTGCGAGCACGCACCCGACGGTGCAGAAGCTAGCTGAACGTCCTCCTGTCCAAGTTGCTGCTGCCAGGCTCGTAATCTGTCATGCGCCCCTGTACCGCCTCCTCATGCTGCTGCCAGGTCCAGAGTGTGTCATGGGCCCCCGTACCGACTCCTCATGCTGCTGCCAGGCCCGTAATCTGTCATGGGCCCCTGTACCGCCTCCTCATGCTGCTGCCAGGTCCAGAGTGTGTCATGGGTCCCTGTACGGCCTCCCATTGCTGCTGCCAGGCCCGTAATCTGCCATGGGCCCCCCGTACCAACTCCTCATGCTGCTGCCAGGCCCGTAATCTGTCATGGCCCCCTGTACCGCCTCCTCATGCTGCTGCCAGGTCCAGAGTGTGTCATGGGTCCCTGTACGCCCCCCTCCCATTGCTGCTGTCTCCATCGCCACACTCTACGGCCTGCCATGTGCCACTTTCAGGTCTCCGCACACTGCTGGTGGTTTCCATTTTTGTCATAGGGTGCTGTATGGCCTCCCATTGCTGCTGCCTCCACCGCCACACTGTGGCTCCACACTCTGGTTTTGGCCCCGTGACTGCCCAAATGAGTGAAGTGTGCGGTGATTCTAAGATCGACGGCACTCATCTGCATGTCATACTGACTGACAGTATTATTTCTCTTCCCCAGCAGACTCCAAGGGCATTTAAATTAAAGGTACAGTGTTCTGCACTAATATAAAGGCTCTCTGAAGCCTAGAAACACCCTTTTATAAGTTAAATTCGCAGCGAATATATTCGACTCGAATCGAAATTTTTTCACGAATTCGCCGAATCAGTCGAATTGAATTTTTGAATAATTCGCTCATCTCTAGTTGCTGCCATGTAATTGGCTGATTAGCAATTTGTGGTACTAAGCTATTAAACAGGTGTACCTAATAATGCCAACGGTGAGCGTACATTGTTATTTATTTATTTCAGGTACTTATATAGCACCGTCAATTTATGCAGCACTTTACATATATATTGTACATTCACATCAGTCCCTAACCCTCAAGGGGCGTACAATCTAAGGTCCCTAACTTACATTCATACATACACATACTAGGGCCAATTTAGACAGGATCCAATTAACCTACCAGCATGTCTTTGGAGTGTGGGAGGAAACTGGAGTACCTGGAGAAAACCCACACAGGCACAGGGGGGAGAACATGCAAACTCCAGGCAGGTGGTGCCGTGGCTGGGATACAAACCAATGACGCTAGTGTTGCCAGGCTGTAGTGCTAACCATTTAGCCACTGTGCTCCCCCATTTATGTTTTTGAACTCTTTCGGACCAAGGTTCTGTTACTATGTCTCTTTATGTATGAATCAATTTCTCACCATTTCTTCATTAGCCAAAGTGTGTCAGCTTTTGTTCATAGTAATTTTGAATTAAATTGTATTAGAAGTTTAAAAAAACAGGAAACTTATACAGAGAACATACAGTATATTCCTAATAGTTAATTGGCAAAGCTGAACTCCAGGTAGTGATAAAATACACAGAATATTGACGCTCTGTATTCACTAATACACCAATAATTGAATAGAAGTACCTGGATGTGATCTGGTATCAGCCTTTTGCAACCCCCTGTATGGTAAAGCTCTGAGTTTGAAAAGAAGCGATAGGAGGAGTCAGTTTGTGTGCTAACCAGGGGCAGACTGACCATTTGGAAACTTGGGCACTGCCCAAGGGCCCAGGGTCAGTAGGGGGCCCCATGAGATGCCCCTAGTACCTTTTTCATAGGCTTTTTTGAGTTTGGGTAAGGACACAGGGGCCCCATGATCCCCTATTGCACAGGGGCCCCATGAGTTGTCAGTCCGCCCCTGGTGCTAACAATAGCCTGCTGATAGGAAGAAAGAGCAGAATGATAGCGAGACAATCTCATCTGCCTTGCTTCTCTTTCACTGTGTAGGCACAGACAGAGGGTGCCTCCATGACAGCCTAGTCTTGGAGACAGTAAGTTGAATAATTCTGGCTGTCATTTAACCCAGAAGGAACGACAACCCTTGCAGCAGAAAAATAATATTTTACCTGCCTGTTCTATTCATGAGAATAATGTGTTACTTTTTGAGTCCCTGACCAAAACAAGTGTGCAGCTCAGGAATTTTGACATCACAGTGACGTCCCTAACTGCTTTCTTGTTTCAGGTAAGTGACGCAGAAAGTTCTGAGACCAGAGACAGGCAGAGAGATAGTGTTCTGAGAAGTATGTCAGCAAGGACAGTATCTATGTTAGTTCAGGTTTCCTTACCAATAGTCAGCTATAGCAATCTCTACATTTTGTGGGCATTGTGTGCAGTCCATTAAATATATTTTAGACCCCTTCACACCTAAGGGTAAAACCAGGGGCGGCTGACAATTCAAGCACTCGGGGACTGCCCGAGGGCCCGGGGTCAGTAGGGAGCCCCATGAAATGCCCCTGGTACCTTTTATAGGCTTTTTTTGTGTGTGCTTTGAGTGTGGGCAAAGAAACAGGGGCCCCATGATCCCCTATTGCATGGGGGCCCCATGAGTTGTCAGTCCACCCCTGGGTAAAACAAATCTTAAAGCCTAAGAAAATTTTACAACTTTGACATGTGTTAGTAAAATGGTACAAATCATCACAACTACTTTGTACATCCAGGTGAATTATACCTTGTTTTTTTCAGGACAAATTGTGCTTTCATTTGGTGGTAAATGGTAATGGATATCTGCTGCTTTTTTTCAATTAAAAAGGAAAACTAGCCCAAAATAGTAAAAAAAAATTTTTTAATTTCGCTGTGTGTTTCTTGTTACTACCATAACCTACCACCAAAGAACAACCCAAAATAAAATGTTCAGCTCTTGATGATTGCAGCGATATCATATGTGTGTATGTTATTTGTTGTTTGTACCTGTAGTAGAGCCCAGAAACAATAGTGTGCATGTTGTTTTTTGTTTCTTTATCTAAAACGCACTGACACTAACTGACACTGATACCAATAAAAAAAAAAAAAAAAACCTGACCTTGACCCAAACACTAATCCTGGCACTGATCTTTAGAGTGGGGCCCTGGGCTCTCAGTGACACCCCGGTCTTTGTGCTGGGAGCGTGCTGTGCAGTACGCTCCCAGCACAAAGGCAGGTACGCAAATATGCAGTCCCACGGAAAAAAGCCCAATTATGTGAGGCCGCATATTTGTGTGACGTCTGCGCCAAGTGGTTAAACAATAAATGACTAAGTGCAGTAGTACATACTGTGTATTGTATATTAACCCCTGCTTCAGAATACCCCAGAATATTGTACTGAGAGAAATATGAAGGCTGCCTTTGCTGCTCTCCTTCTAAAAATACCAAGTCCTTGGTTCTCCTAGACCTTAATATGTTGAGTCCCAAATCTGTGACAGACTCGCATCCAAGTCTCAGGGGTAAATCTATGTACTTGTTTCTGATCAGTGACTCAAAATTTTGAATTCTTTGGAATAACATAGAAGCTAGGCAATGACTTTTTTTTAAAAGCAATGGGTCTAGCAATGGTAACCTATGTATTTTGAGAGTACTGGATTTTTTGAATGTAGTTTAATAATTATATCTACCTTCTGTTGACTTGTCACTAGATGGCAGTCACTAATGGGGGGGTTTACACCATGTTTTACCTGTAAAGCGCTGGGCAGGATAAGTGAAGACAGTGCTGCTCCTCTAGGACAGGTCCTGAGTTGCCTAGTACACATATAAATAGAGATGAGGGTGCCCCCACCTACACATAGGCTGTATTATAAAAGGTGTCAATTTAAAGATGATGTAATCACCACATTAATGGTGATGAAGGCACATCAGTGGTGTAGAAGGGTCTCTGGAATGCTGTTGGAACCATGCAGAGTTCGGCAGGCAAGCTGTCAGGCTGTGTGCAAAAATCGGCAGGCAAATGGCTGGAGAGTATACCCAAAACTGTAAGGCTGAAGCTTGGAGTTCCTCCTGAAGCTTGGTGGCTTCTGGGAGCTTTCAGCAAACTTCGGGAGTAGCTAGTAATGATATCACTATGTTGGAAGCGTGGCTCACTGTGACACACACTGACAGCTTGGAATTGTGCACCTGCTCCCAGCCACAGAATCTCCAAGCTGGGTGGAGGGCGACGCAGCTAGGTGCCACCCCTCTGGCGGATGTCACCCAGGTGAGGTCTGCACCCCCCTAGTGAAGCCACTGACATGTGGCCTATGTGCATTGTTGTACATTGCCATTCATTGTGAATGGCACCCCAATGCTGATTTACAGTTTAAAGTTGTACACCAACCCTTCAGGGCAACTTATGCACAGATGTGATTGATGTGGCATGTTTTGTTTCTTAAAGGAAGTACAGGAATGTCTGAAACGTCTTAAGGGTCCATTTCAAGTGATTGCAGCACAGAACAAAATATGTATTAATGGATGCAGAAGTGTGAATAGAGAACTCGTCATGTCCAGTTTTAGAGATGTTAAATAAAGATCCAAAATAAAAATAATAGTGCTGCGCTCCTGTGCTCTTAGTAATGTTTACTCATAATATGATGTGATATATCTTAAAAGAATAAATAAATTAAATAAACCATTCGTCTGTGACATATCTGTGATCAAACTATAAACTTTTTCATACCATCACTAGTGAAAGACATAATATGGTGACCAAATCAAAAATAATATATAATTGCCTCAATGCAATCCAATTAAATAAACATCAAAAATAGTCCGTATTATGTGAACAGTCCTCCTAATATATGAAAAAACGTGTGCCTCCAAATGGATGAAACAACGGTGAGTATTAATTTATTATGCGCTCACTTCCTTTTTAGCCTAATGTGAATTTAGGCTGAAAATCGCTTAATGTCCTAAAAGGACGGATGAAACTGCTCCTGCTCCAGATCTCCTACTCAGATGGTTTTACGTTGCAGTATACAAATAATCTACCTGGTGTCTCTCCAAAGTGCTGCTCCCTATGATGGATATAGATGGATGGATTCCTCACTCTCACCTCCAGTGGTCTATTCCTCCTTATATCCCCTCCAGAGCTCCACATATATAGTGTCAAAAAGAAAACAAGAAATAGTGCCTTATCCTTTTATGCGTTTTATTAATCAAATAAGTGGTCCCACTCACATATAAACCAAATAAAATGCGCCTGTGATAAATGCCTTTGTGTGTGCTCTGCACACTTCCTATACTCGCTGTTACAAGCCGACAGAACGTGGTGAGTCTGGTGACGTCAGAGGGGAGGGGCTTGATTAATTGATTATTTATATCACTATTGAATTTCACCTTATTAGCTCACAAGTAATAATATCACTCAATTTCTTAATAAAGATCCAAAGTGGAGGGCTGATTGACCCTTTATATCATGGAGGAAAGCTCTCTTCATGATGGTAGTGTTTGGGCAGGCATCAAATGGAGCTTGTCCATTCAAAACATCCACAACATGAAGCAGGCTTCACACAATGAGCTTTATGTTCAGTAAAACTTTACTGCTCTGGAGAACATGCGCATGGAAGCCTTTCCTAGGACTTCTCCATACTAATGCATTTCATAGGAACTTAAATTGTTTTTTTTTTTTTTACATTGCAAATAGAGATGAGCGAATCGAACCAGGCAAAGTGGAATTCGTTTCGAATTTCAGGAAAAATTTGATTCGCGGCGAATCCGAATATTAGCATACTTCGGGTGCGCGAATCGGATTTTTCCCGATCAGCCGGCAAAAGTGTCCCTGCAGAGAGCTC